TCTGCCTATTCATCTTGTGTTTCTGTTTTTGTTCTTTTTACCTCAATGTTTTGTTTTGTTCTATTGTATTGTGTTTTGTTGTGTTCTGATACACGAGCTGCTATGACGACTTAATATCCCTCCGGGGATGAATAAAGTAATCTATCTATCTATCTATCTATCTATACATCCCCTTGTTATTATTAACTTTATTTTCATCATTATTATTATTGCTATTATTATTATTGTTTCTTGTATGTGCCTTCTTGTTTTATGTTGTTCACCGTTTGTAACAAAATGTGTAATAAATATATGTTTAAAAAATTAAAATTAAGTGATTGAGATGCGTTAAGTGGATTTGAGTTTAGATTCAGTAAAATGCTAACAAACTTCTACTCTAAAAAACAAACAAAAATCTGCTTCAGTTCACCTAACGTCTGCATCGCAACTTTCCTGTCTCCAAAATGTTCGTGTGCATGGGTCAGAGTTTGCGTTAGGGATGGAACGGTATATGAAAACCGTCCGAACCGTTCAGTTCGACTGTCTCGGTTCAATTCGCGCAGATAGAAATAGCAGATAGAAATAAGAGTATTGGGTCAGTTGTTGTGGAGAATTGTGTGGGTATGGCGAGTGGGAAAGAGCCAGAGTTAGAAGATGAGCCAGCAGCACTTTATAGGTCTGCTGTGTGGGACCACTTTCCATTTAGAGTGACCTACGACGAAGGCGGTAAGAAAGTTGTTGACAAAAGTGCGACAGTGTGCAAGCATTGTGCAACACGTGTAGTTTACGCTAACAGCAACACGACCAACATGTCAGCTCACCTGCGGAGACATCATCCCAGTGAGACAATTGGCAGCGCAAGGAGGAGAGGGAGAGAGTCGACAGGACAACTTCTACTCTCCTCAGCTTTTAATCAGCCATACGGTGACGACATTATTTTTGAGTTAATTTCAAACAAAGGGACCTAAGTCTAGTGTTGATAGAGCCTATGCTTCTTTGTTAAAGATACTTTGCAATGCACGATACGATACAAAACTTTGTTTGCCAAATAAATGAAGCACATGTTGGAACTAGCAATGTCTCCTGTCTTGCAGTGCCTCCTGTCTTGCAGTGCCATAATCTCACCTACGTTTAACCAAAGACTGTCACAATGATGTATCAAATGTCAGACTGCTTCATTCTTTCAGTTTTAACCTGACTTTACAAGACATAATTGATTTTCCTAACAATCAACATATACCGAACCGAAAACTGTGACCACAAAACCGTGAACCGAACCAAACCTTGGATTTTGTGAACCATTCCACCCCTAGTTTGCGTGGAACTGCATTTTTATAAATCCCAAAGTTTACATTAGAAGTGGCATATGCACGTTTCAGGCCCCATTTTGGGTGTACACAATGGTTATAAATGAGACCCCTGGTCAGTGGAGGAGGCCCTCTCTGTCCCTGTTCCCCTTCACGGAAAAATGTCCTTTGAGCTGCGCTCGATGTTTTGGCAAGGCATTGGTAGCAGTTCTCTTTGTTTCTATTGTAGCTGCAAGGCATTTGAGTACCTGGTTGTGTCTCCACGTATACCTGCCTTGGGAGAGACTTATTTTACAACCAGTGAGGATGTGTTTGAGGGTGGCTGGAGTTAAGCATTGTGGGCAGGATGGATCTTCGTTCAACCACTCTTTTAGGTGGAAGGACGTCATAGGTTGCCCTAAGCAGAAAGCTTATCTTGCTGGCTTCCATTCCCCACATGTCCTTCAGGCTGATCTTCATTTTCTCTGACACGGTGAACCAACAGATCCTCATTTCCTCCCTTCAATATCTGCATGTCTCAGGTTCAGCACTATCCCTGCTCTCACTCTAACTCAAAGACCACACCTGCAGGGGTGACTCAGAGAGGTTGTGAGTCAGAATCTTGTCCACTAACTACTGGGGTCCCTCAAGGTTTCGTCCTGGGTCCCCTCCTTCTCTCTCTGTGCACCAACTCTCTCAGCTCTGTTATTCACTCACATGGTTTTTCCTACTACAGCCATGCAGATGACACCCAACTAGGGATGTCCCGATATGAAATTTCGGTGCCACGATTATTGTCAGAGGAAACATCACGGTTTCACGATTTTCACGATTATTGGTACTACAGAAGGAAAAAGACACAAACAAACAATATATAGCGAATATATAGCTAATAATATAGCCAATGAACTAAAATATGTATTATTATCATCAACAATATTATATATATATATATATATATATATATATATATAAGTGTTGACTAGTTGTAAACAAGTAAACAGGGAAACTGTCCTGGTTCAAGTCTCATTCTTCATGTCCTGATTATACTATTACCTTTGAGTACAGGTGAAGTAAACTCCTGGCTACATTTAAAATGGTGATTTCACCGCATGGTGCACACACAAATTACGTGACTCGTGAGAGGCAGGACATCATAGTAAGATATCCTAGTTTTTACGATTCTTATGGTTATGAAATAATGACGTTATGAAACCACGGATACCCTAAAATCAATTAATCGCGACATCCCTACACCGAACTAATTCTCTATTTTCCCCAATCTGAAACACAGGAAGCAGCACAGATCTCTGCTTGTCTGACTGATATCTCTCAGTGGATGTCAGCACACCACTTAAAAATCAACCTTAACAAGACCAAGCTACTTTTCCTTCCAGGGAAAGGCTCTCCCACCCATGACCTGACTATCACCATAGACAACTCTGTGGTAGCTCCCACTCTGAACACAAGGAGCCTGGGAGTGACACTAAACAGTCAACTTTACCTTACTGCCACCATTGCTGAAACAACCAGTATGTAGATACATGCTTCACAACATCAGAAGAATACGTCCCCTTCTCACTCAGGAGGCTGCACAGGTTCTGGTTCAGACTCTGTTCATCTCACGCCTAGAACACTGCAACTCCCTCCTGGCTGGTCTTCCTGCTTATCCCATCCAACCTCTGTAGCTCATCCAGATGCAGCAGCTCGACTGGTCTTCAAACTGCCTAAGTTCATTCACATTACACCGCTCTTCTGCTCCCTTCACTGGTGGCTGCCAGTATCCGCTTCAAAACACTAATACTTGCTTACAGTGCTGTGAACAGATTCGGCCCACTCTACATCCAGGACATGGTTAAACCTTTCACCCCAGCCATTCAGAAAGTCTACACATCTTACACCGCAGGCTAAAGACACATCTCTTCCAACTACACCTTGGCTAAGAAGATGATGCTCTAATAATCAAAGAAAAAACTAGACATATGTTGCATTTACATGTAGCACTTCGTAGTTTGGCTTATTTTAAGCTAATGTACTAACATGATTCTTGCTGTTCTGGGTTTATACCCTCATAGTTGAATACACTTACTAGAATTAGTTTTGGATAAAGCGTCAGCTAAATGATATGTAATGCAATTTCTACGCTCTCACATTTCATCCACTGCCCATGTCTTGCCTTGGTGACAGCCTTTGCACATCTTGCCGCCTCTTCCTGAAAACGTATTTTCGATCACATGACAATTATGTTAAGTTCTCAGTTATCCTTTACATAAACACACAACTAAATGCATAACCATACTTTACCCTAACCTAAACATAATTGTAACCCTAATGCTAATTCCAACTCTTAACTGTCACACAGCTCATTGCAAGTAGGTCAGGAAATGAGTAATGGACAAAATATCATCAATCTCACACACAGACATACAAAACACATCTTACCTTGGCTATTATGACCTCTTTGCGCAGTATTTTCATGGCATAGTGAACTCCAGTGGACTTCTCTTTGACCAGAATCACCTTCCCAAACGTCCCTTTGCCAAGCAGCTTCAGGTACTCAAAATCACTCATTGTCTGTGGAGTACATGAGGCTGAGCCGTGAGAATTCATTTATATAATAAAAATAATGGGAAGAAAAATTCAAACGAAAATAAACAATTGGATTGGTGGATTGGTGGATTGGTGGATTGCTGAAGGTTATTTTTTTGGTTAAAAAAAGAGGAATTTTACTTTTGCTATTGAACCAAGCTATAAATGTATCACATATTAGACTTTGAGAAAGCTCAATGACAAATATCATCTTTGGAAAAAATACCTTGGGTGGCATGCAAGAATAACTTGTAGCAACAGATTGGTTCTTAAGCAGACCTTAAAGAGATTTGAGGACACCTCATTTGAGGTTTCTCTGGGTCTGGAGGCAGAATAGTAATTAATTAATCTTTACTACCATTGAAATTATGCAGCAAAAAGCAAGTACAAACAGAATATAGTATATATTATATGAAATAAAAGTGGCAAAAATATCAATGTGCATTTTATGGAAAAATCTAAACATCACCAAAGTTAGAGTGTATTTGTTCAGTCTTTTGGATCAGCTCAAAATATTGCTATTCATCTTTTTCATCACCAACAACTGATCCTCTCACCACTTTGCTGCGGCACTTGGACATAGCCACCTCCATCTCCTCCAGGCTGCTCTCACTGGGTGAGCCAAACAGATCCATTGGTTCCTCCTCCTCCTGTTCTCGCATTTTTAAACTGTTTGCCACAGACTGGATAGCACGCATCCACTCCTCTCTGAGAAGCATAAGTCCCAGAAATTATCAGGCATTATGTCCCTGTGGCATCCAACAAATACATTGAGTGCTGGAGAACCTCTCACAATGGCCACTGCATGCCATTTGGATATCATTTAGAATGTTACTGACATAGTTTTTGGCACAATCCTGTTGGAAAAGTGGCAGCTTATCTAATGAAATGTTTTTGCCCTGTTCTTACCTCTCCTCATTGCTATCCACATGAAAGGTGCGTTCAATAACAGTGGTCCACTGTAGGCAACGAATGACAAATGTGTTGGGCCGGGGTCTTTCTGTCTTCATTAACTGGCATTCTGTGAAATACACAGTAACATGGATGTTTACATCTAAAAATGTATAAACTGAGGTCAGAATTCACAACATCTCACGACAAATTTTGGAAACAGACAGCAGTAGTCTTCGAGATAAAGCCAGGCTCTAATATCTTCCGCACACTAGAGGAATATTGGCCCGATTTCTGGTCCAATTGAGCCATCCCGACGTTTGCAGGCGTGGTGCCGATTTGAGGCTTGACATGAACAGATTATCTGGCCAAATTATCCTGTAGTGTGAGGGGTTTACAAACATAATCTTAATGTCACAGACTGAATCTGAGTCTCTTACATAAGAAAAGGAACAGCGGCTGGGCGAGTAAGCAGAAACAAGCAATTACCAATGAAAGCAACTAGTAAGCTGGCCAACTGGATGTTGCGTAATTATGATAAAAAACGATATTAGACTTTAGTTTCCCATAGCAGGTAGACAGTAGAAAAGAACGATAAACTTGTGGAATGTTGCAACAGTGAGTGCTTGTATAATGTGTCCTGTTTTATTCTGAAGTCACGTTTGATCATGCAAGCTTCTGGTAGTTTCCAAGTCTCTGCAATAGCAACACAGAAAATGTTTCTTTAAATGCCATATGTGTGGTCTAGATAGATAGATAGATAGATAGATAGATAGATTACTTTATTCATCCCCGAAGGGAAATTAAGTCGTCATAGCAGCTGGTATATTTGAATACAATAAAATACAATACAATAGAATAAATAAAATATTGAGGTAGAAAGAATAAAAACAGAAACACAAGATGAATAGGT